AACAAAGATATTTTCTAACTGATTTAGGCAGAGGAAAGTAGTTAAACTTTAACACAAGATGCAGAAAAAAAAACATAAGACAACTGTTCTAAAAACTGAGATTTTTAAGTTGTTACATCAAGGTCTTGCATGTTCAGGTGTTTTGTCTGATGTATAATATCAGAGGACTTCCCCTGCAGCCTTTTTGTGTGAGTCATCTCCTCCTGACACAGCAGACCCTTAAATCAAATCTTACAGTAAATACTGGGCTTCCAAATATCATCCAGTGATCGCCGTGATGCAATGAGAACAATCTTATACTTGTGCTCTTTATCTGTTGACCTGATCAGCGAAAAGGCCCCAATTTCAGTTTATTTACTTTGTCTGCTTGAGGATGATCCCTCAGCACATGACATTAGTTGAACCTAGCTGTGTTGTTGCCTTAACTGCATCCCTCCAGCCTCTGGACTGGCGACTGGACTCTGACTTTCAAATCACCTTGTGTGAAAGCAGCTACAGCTAAACAGCAGGAACCTTGGGATTAAAGGAAAATGTTGTAGTATAATTCAGCATGTTCTGTTTAAATGTTTTTACTAAATTACCGTATTTTAACCCATCCCATATTGCAAGCCCAAAGAAAGCTTTGTTTTAAGTTTGCAGGGTGTTTTATCATTTCCATGTCCCTATTTCATATGACCTAAACAAAACATTTATGTGTGAATACAGAATATGGACTAGTTGCCTGTGAGGCTAACCTCCCTCACTGTGATGAGTTAATACAAAGCATGAATCGTGTATAAAGAACAAGCGCCAAGAGGTGAGTTTGTCTGATAAGGAAAAAAAAAAAAAAAAAAGACCTTGAATGACTGATGTTCATGGTTCAAACAGTTTGCGATGCTCCACAGTTCCCTTTGAGGTGAACTTGGTGCTGTGACATTCCAACACAGTACTAACTCCCACTCAGAAGCATGCTCGCATCATTAAAAAGTTTTAAACTTATTGTGAATTACTGATGAATAATCATCTCCATATGCTGTTTTGTATATCTAAGCTGTTATGTGTCTAGATCATCTAGATATTTATAGACAGATGTCCTAGCTACTTCAGAGAGATCAAGACAAGTGATGGTTAGAAGAACACAAACAACGCCTTTTCTTTCTTTAAATGATGAGCTTAACCTGTTCACTGGCCAAACTAAAACAACCAAACATGATTTTTTAAAAACACTTGAAAGAATTAAATTAGGTGTTGTTCTTTAACCCTTAGGTGCTTCCAACCTGGCTTATGAAACATTGTAATGTCAGACAGTAGCCTTATTATTGAGGCTGCAAATTTGGAGACACCACATGCATCCTGCAGACATGACAGGTTAACAGATCAAAGGCATATTTTGTTGGTTTTTGTTTTTTGGACTAATGAAGGAAGCAAAACAAGAACAACACTGGATATGTAAACAATTTAATTTAATTTATACCTTTTCATAATCAAATAATATTTAAATTTAACACACAGATATAAATGTACCAAAGATAACAAAACCAGTCACACAACTCCTGTTTTTTGTAGTAACCAATAGGCTACTATCATAACTCTAACTACTGTAATCGTAGTTTATTTTAGCCAAATCTCTGACCACAGACTGGGCTTGTGATGATATTCCAGTTTCTGCAACATGTAATCGATTGTTGCACACAGCCACATCAAAATAAAGTCACCACGCCTTCAGAATGAATTTAATTATTGGAATAAAAGTAAAACATCTCATAGAGCATACTGTATATATTTGCACTTACTCTGATCATAAGAAATTAAAATTGCATTTAAATATCATGAAATATGAATACTTATTTTATTTAAAAAAACAAAAGAATACCACCAGCTCCTTTGTGTTTTGTTGTAAAGCAGGTTAGTGAATGAAGCTATGTGGTGGAAATTGTGGCCAATTAAGGGTAAGAAGTGCCTGCAGTCAGTTTGGACTCAGTGGTTAGTTTCCAAATTTAAAATGAGTAATTGTTGATAATAATAATAATTATTGAACTTTATTGATCCAACAGGGGAGAAATTTACCTTTGCATTTAACCCATCCCCTTGGGGAGCAGTGGGCTGCCAGTGTGCAGCACCCGGGGAGCAGTGTGGGGTTGAGGGTCTTGCTCAGGAACCCAGAGTGGAGGCAGTGGGATTAAAACCGAGTACTAGTAACCTTAGAGCATAAGCACACTGCTGAAATCTTTACTGAACCCCCCCACCCACAGACACACAAAATGGGATATAAATATAATATTATACATAATTGTAACTTTTTTTTAAATGATGCACAGAAAAATGACTTCTCGCTGCATTTAATATATACACAACCTCATTAACTGTGTGTGCCTCTGCTATCTGTCTTCAATTTGAATTTGATAACATAAACAAGATCAGTTTACTGTAGGTAGTTTTGAATAAAGTTAGATATTACTGAATATTATTTCATAAAACTACTTAGCAAAATCTCATGAATCTGACAGATGGGAATAATTTTAGCAGTAACTTTATTCAGATCACACTTCAAATCTGTTTTACATTATCCATTTAGCATAAGAAAAAAAAAGACAAACAAACAGAAAGCTGTGAATGACTCAGAAAGGTGGATTTTCGGTTTCAGCAAAAAGACACCAGACAACCTTATAATTCAAAGCACATATTTTCATTAGACATCTGGAAAGGACCACAGCACCTGTTATACTGAGGGATTAATCGAGTTTTAACAGATGTGATTATCCATCAGGCAAACTTCCTCCATCTTTTCAAACAATACAATACAATACCACTGGATGACGTGTTAAATTTTCAGTTTTAACTTGCCAAATGAATGCTAATGCAGCAACAATCTTCTATTTCCACGTCTAATCGGTTAGAAATGAGGAGGAGTTGACCAGATTTTTTCTCTCCTTGCTAAATGCTGATGCAATGCAGTGCATATAAATTCTGGTGGGGATAACTCATTTAGCATCACACCTGTCAGAATCACCAACCGCTTCAACATCTATAGCAGTGCTTCTATATTACCTATGCTTAGCATGCAGCTAAGGTTTAGTACAAATAAATAAAAGATACCATTTAGAGATAATGTGGTAGTCGGAGCCTGTTTGACTCACTTTTCATGTAACTGGGGAGTGCGGACATTGAGAAAATCAATGTTCTGCATACTTTGCACTTTTGTGAATTGTTGGTTTGCTCCATGTTTGAGCCAGTCGATATTTTAGATTTTCCAGCCATAGTTGATTAAAACGACACCCTCCCGGCATGTTCTTCAATGCTCTGTCCACTCGGTAGCCACGTCATCATGACAACAGACTATTATGGCACCAGACAAAGTTACAAAAAAGAAATACATTTCACCATTTTATTTTTCTCTTTTTAATAAGTGGTATATTAAGTGAGACTTCTATTGTGAAATAGGTGTGAATACAATATCAAGCATTTACAAGAACCAGACACAAAATTCAAGCATTTTTTAAACCTTAAAACACACAATGTTAAAATTCAAGCTTTTTCAGGGATTTAAACCACCCGTATGAAGTGTGTGTCACAGGTTCAAATCCAGTTAAGGTAATTGGTGTAACAGTCCAAGCCAGGGCTCAGAACAATTATTTGAAGTGAAGTTTAAAGTCATTAAATCAGTGTCTCTTGTCTAAGTCATTTAACTTGAGTTCTCCCCTCTCCAAATCAAATGCAATTCCTGCTGTTGAAAAGTAGGGACACAACTTTTTTAGTTTCTATACGAAACTAATTCTGCAGCTTTACTCAATACAATATCAGCATGAATAATTCTAACTTTAGTCTTTTTGGCAGTGTAGCATGTTAGAAAAGACTTAATGAAGACAAAATATCTATCCTGTTAATTATTAAGCAATGAGTTACAAACTATTTAAATAGAAACTAACAGAAGTAAAGTGTTTACATCAGCCTGCTGGTACAGGAGGTTTTCGATACATGCCCATATATTCCGAGATTATAATCTTTTTAGATGACAGACCGATTTTCGATGTCAATATCAGATCGGGACATCCCTGCTGAAAAGAGCAGCGATGTGTCACTAACCAGCACACTGCATGCATTAGTGATAGGACAGACGTGTTCTGGAATAGATAACATTTTGTTTCAGATCATAGACTTTTTTGCTGACTGAATTCCAGCTACCAAAACTTAAACCATTTAGACTAGGTATAAAGGAACAGAAAGAATATGACCAGGACACCATTTGACTGTATTAACATGGAATGATTTTAAAGGAATTGATTCCAGGCACTCAAAAGTGCCTAATATGATGAGTATTATTTCAGTTTTAAAATGAAAGGAGTTAAATTACAGTTTGTCTCAAGTAAAAATCTTTACATCAGAACATGAGTCACCCCTTGGTTATCGCATACCTTTGCTAAGCATTTTGGACCAATCTCTAATGAAACCCTGCAATGATGATGGTGGGTAATGCTTACATACCAACAATAATGTAATTGCATTCATATTTTGATAAAATGTTGCCTAATAAAGACAGCCATGCTCATCTGCAGCAGGGAGCCTTCTGTGAATGTGCTGAGTGAATTGGTGTTTTACAGGAAGGGAATAATTGGCTCAGGGAGAGAGGGAGATCCAATGCAAGTATATTCCATCTTGACTGCTTTGGCTGAAAATACTAATTGGAAGTCTCTCCTTGGCTTGAAGGTAATGAAACCGCTGTTAGAGAAAAGTTCATTATTTATATCCACACGCAGCATAGTGAGAGCTGGGAGCATTCTGTGCTACTGTTTCTGTGTTTTCCTGCACTTCTCCTTTAAATCAGAAAACATGCTTATGGCCAAAAAAGGTTCACACAAACATCTTGAAAACACATTTTTACTGTAATGAATCAGACATTGGGGCTCATTTACAACTACAGCTCAGATGAACAGATCCCTCGTTTTGTTTCCCCGATTTAAAATCATTAAGGACTAGCTTGCATAAAAACAGGTCATCAGTGTGTTTTAGTGAAACAGACTCACCCATTTCTTGAAAGAAGTATCCATTCTTGGACATCCCAGATGGAGGCGCCTCTGCAAGAGCAGCACAGGAAAAAAAAGCCATTATGGGAGGAAACCTGAGCAACAATAAAAGTCCCAGGACGTACCACCCTTTATTGTAATTATGTTGTACTTGATATAGAGTTGATATGGGGAATGGTTATAAATACAAACTGGCGCAATTATTCTGTTTTTCTTTTTGCGGTTTTGGGCTTTTGTGTACTTGGAAAAGTTATGTTTATTCAGAATAACACCTGCCATCTATCAAGACTCAAATCTTACTAATTTCATCAAGCCCGTGAATATAAAGCTTTGAGGCCGTCTTTTTCTTTATTGGTTTTTGCTGTAGCTTCAGCCTTTCTGTTCAACAAAATGTTCCCTTCAAATGTTCTTGAGCCAGAGTTTGATTTTTTGTGATAGTTGTAGGTTTCTATTCAATGACAGGGCTGCAACAAACAACTATGTTTGTTATTAGTTCATCAACTTTCATTAGAATTGACAGAGAAGATCGCAAAAACTGCTCAATAGATTTTTTTAAATTCAAATTTTTTTTTTTTTTAGAAAATTCAATTTGATTCCCTTGACAACCTCCGAGTGGGACGTGAATGGAACACCTCCTGAGGGAGGCATCCAGGGAGCATCCAAAAAGATTATGAGCCATCTCTGCTGAGTCCTCTCAATGTGGAGAAGCAGCTCTAATCAGTGCCTCTCCCAAACATCCATGTTAGAGAGAATAAATGCTCTCTTCAACATGCACCAGGAACAAGTCTGACCTAATGCCAACAATACAGATCAAAGTCTTGCTCCGCTTCTACAGAAACAGGATAGCCTCTAGTAAAGGGCTTTAGACTCTGTACTCCTAAAGAAACCCCCACAGGGGACGATGAAGGATAAGGTCAAATGCTTTTTTCAGGTCCACAAGCGAATGTTGGGCAAACTCCCAATCACCCTCAAGAACCCTGCAGAGATTGTAGTACTGGTCAACTGCTCCTCAGCCAGAAAAAAAAAACGCACTTCTCCTCCTGACAATTAGCCGGACTCTCTTCTCTAGGACTCTGGCATAGGCCTTCCCGGCCAGGCTGAGAGATGTGATTTATCCGTAGTTGGAACACACCCTTCGGTCCCCCTTCTTATGCAGGGGAACCAACACTCCAGTCTGCCAACTCAGAGGAACTGTACCAGACCTCCATGCGATGTTGAAAACCGACAATATCCAGAATTCTAAGGCAGATCTCATCCCTCCCAGAAGCCGTGCCACCATGGAGTTTTTTTTGACCAACTGGGTGATGAACAAACCCAGCCCCATGCACCCTGTGTCTTCTTCCACCACGGAGGGCATGTCAGATTGAGGAGATCCTCAAAGTATTCCTTCCACCATCCAACAATATCCTCTTTAAAGGTCAGCAGCTCTCCACTTCCATGGCAAATAGTGTTAGCAATGTACCGTTTTCCCTGCGGAGGTGCCGGACGGTTTGCCAGAATTACTTCAAAGCCAGCCGATAGTCTTGGTGATATAGATAATCATGGACAATGTTTCCTCTAAGCTGCACAATTGCACAATGCTTGTACATTCCCAGCTCACAAAAAAATAAAATAAAAATATATGCAGTGCATAAAATTAAATCTCACATATACAGTAAATACATTTTTTTCTGTATCATTTTGAATCCGTGTATCAATCTTTTTTTAACATTAAAATCAACAAGGAAAATACAAGAAACCACAGACAAAGAAGGGGAACATCTAAAACATGCAGAACAAGGGCCCTTGATCTGACTTTAGACAAAACTGCTGCACATCAACATCTGCACATATGGTGACCAGTTTTCAAACCCCTAAAGTTAGCATATTTGTTTTTCTAACAGTACCTGTGATAATGATTTTGACATATATGGTTACAAAAAACTGTGCAAGCTGTAGTTTCGTTAAACTTTTACTCTGTTACATGGGAAGAGTTAAAATTGCCCAAAAGAAGTTTCACTATCTAAAAATAAATAATGGTAGAAGAAAAACATTAAATGAAAAAACCTTTTCAACCAGAGGCGCAAAACAAAATTGTCGAAATTAAAGAAAATGTTTTTTTTTGTTTTTTTACTTGTTGAAGAACAGCCAGTGCAGATGTTAAAAAGTGAACATTTTGTTGCATACTGCAGCCATATCCTTATCTCCACTGTAACAAACCCAGATAAAGTTTTTCTTGTTATAATAAATGTCAAAAGCATTTAAAAAGGAATAAGTACAGTACAATCTGAACACAAAGCACTCACACTGCCACAGCTAAGGTCCTGGCTCTATGAAAATAGTCTTTGGTAATCCATAGAGAGATTTTCTTCCAGGCAGGCAATCGTTTGCACTGGTACAATTTTCAAAATGGTGTTTATATCAGTTTGAAATTAAACCTATAATCTGACAGAGCCTTTGATTAAAAATGCAGTGAAGTAATTTAGAGTGCAACATTTTGATTTCTTTTTTTTTCTAAATGTTACGGTTACCGATATGTACAGCATGAGGATTTCACAGCTAAGTCAAGGCAGAAAAAAAGCAGGGACATTTTGAAGGTTATAGAGACATTATGAGTTCATGCAGAATAAAGAAGGTAGTGGGAGGGGGCAGAGGGCTCAGAAATTACTGTTTTCTTCTTGAACATTGTGGCTATTTGTTTACTAACATGTTTCAAACTCAAGCTTTACCAAAATGCCTTGCAGTTCAGTCAATATTCTGAGCTATGAATTCACATTCATGTTGGAAAAATATATCTAGGCAATTTGATTTAGTTTATATTATAGCAGACGATATAAAATGCTAAAGGTGGCATCTTTTCTAATGTTGTCTGTTTTGAAATAGTTAAACCATTCTTGATGTCAATTTCTTCTCTCTCACACACAAAGAGGGATCATCTCCACTCCTTATGTAAATATTTAACATCTACACCTGTCAGGAAGAATAGAAAAAACAATAACTTGATGTAATAATTGAGTGTTTGTCATTTTATGGTTCTTAAAGAAAAATCCTAAAAGGCTAAAAAAGGCTAAAAGCTGGTCAATGTTTCACATAATTCAGAGATCGGCAATCTGGCACAAGTAAGGCCCCTCAACTGACCAAGTCTCGTTAAGGTGTTAAAATGCCTCTAGAAAAACTGTTACGTTTAATTTAAGCCCATTTTTGGCTTCTGTATGTGCATAATTATCTTTATGTCAGGGGTCTTCAACATTTTCCAGGCCAAGGACCCCCAAACTGATGGTGAGATGGAGCAGGAACCCCCTAATTATACAAACTGTATGAAACTGTGTTATTTCAGACTGGTCCTATAGTCACTCTATTACATATGGAGTAATGTAACAAAAGTAATTTCACCCTGGGACTATTAAAGTATTTCTTATTCCGATTCCTCATTAATGGGACAGGTGTTGTAAACGAATCGGTGCCCAGCTTCAAAGAGCTCCTGTGTGTCTCTGAATGTGTGCATTGATAGAAAAGACATCTTCTGCCTCCATTTTTCTGTTTACTACAGTGTGTTGAATTCCCGTTAATGTGTATTTGGAGACATTTCAAATAGTAGAAAAAATTGCAGGGGGGAATATAAAATAAAAAGTCTTATCAACCAAAACTTTTGAGACCCCCATGCAGTACCTCCGTGGACCCCCTAGAGGTTGTGGACCCCTTGTTGAAGACCTCCGCTTTATGTTATAAACAAATTTGGATTTGGAAGGTCTGTCCTCTGGCTAAAATACTAATGGGTAGTGATTAGCAACTCTTAGACAGTAATGGATAAAAAGCTAAATTAACCACAAGGTGGGTCGTTAGCTGAAGGCTTAAGCCCAGTTGTAACACCCACCAACATTACAGTCTTGTTTTTCCACAAGCACTGCATGATCTATTATGTAGCTTCTTATTGCTGCTTTCTGGTGTTCCATTACTATGCATTGCTACACCAAGTAAAGGTTTGCTACTTATTTCAAATGCTGTCATTGGCATATGTGTTGGACTACACACATGGTGTTGTAGTGTTAATCTGGAAGCTTTGGTCTACATCTGACTTGGAAAGATGCACAGCAGAGCCTTTTGTCACATCTGTACTGATTAGTGAGGGGTGAGAAAACTGGCCTAGGGAACCAAAGTGGATAGAGCCAGACCTGGATGAAGTTACACCCTTAAATTTACATAAACTGGCAAATTTGTTGTAACTTTTTTGTCCATTTGTTTTTTTATTCAGAAAATATGAATGATAACGTAAAACCTTTTTTTTTATTTTTTTTATTCAGGGTTGGTGGTTGAGTAAAGACATTTAATGTTAAACAAACGTGTTTACTTTTCAGCATGGCAAAAGAAGCACAAAAATGACCCTGAGAAAAAAAAAAGTATATTCCCCAGATCTTATTACTGCATTCTCTCTGCTTTAACATCAGTGACAGCCTTCAGTCTTTTGTGTTAGTTGCGAATTAAGATCTTAATTTTCTTGGATGGTAAAGCTGCCTATTCTTGCCAAAAAGCCCCCAGTTACTTTAAAACCCTTGCAGAAATTGGACGTTAGAGGTCTCTTTATAAGCACTCAGTGTTAGTATTCCATAGCAGGACTATCATTTAAAACTAATTCCATGGAGATAAATAAAAAAAGTCAAAGTATTGGACAGAGAGGTGAGAAAAAGGAGAGCATGGTAAGGATCAAAATAATCATGTCTTTAAAAAGGTACTTTTTCTTGAATTCTCAACTTTTCACAGAATCCTTTGGATGGGGTGGGGGGGATATCTTAGATTATGTTTTTCCCCAAGCCAAGATCTGCTGGCCAGAAAAGGCAAACCTCAGCATATTTAGGTAAACTAGTGTAAGACAGAGGAATGGGGGAAATAGAGAAAACACAAGAAAACACAATTTATATTTCAAGAAATATAAATCATGATACAGATATAGAAAAAAAAAAAAAAAAAAAAGCCAAAAGCTACTTGTTTCTAGGTGATTTTTAGGACCTTCCTTTGACCGGTTCGACTCTTTAAAGTGTGTTGTGGTCAGGAAGATTTTTCTGATTTGATTGTATTAAGCTTTTT